GTGTAAATCGCATAATGTTTGTAGACGCTATGGAAAATTCCTTGAAAGGATACATACACTGATACAGTGTCGAAAAATTCTTTGACTCATTCTTCGAATAATGTCTTTGTACAGAAACTGTAAATATTGATAGATTCACATTGTGATAATTACAAAGAATCAGCAATACATGTAGATATGCAAGAGTGAATTGACATTCAAATTGCAGATGGAATATAAAGAACATTTTATAATAAAAATCGAACGAAACGAGACTGGCTAGTAGAGAAAACAAATTATTTGTCTAGAAAACTTGACTACATATGTGGTTACCAACATTCTTAAAAAGGATGTTCATCCTGAATTATGTCAACAGCATTTTCGAAAGAAAGATTTTCATGACAGAACTCCAAAGCACAAGTAATTTGTTGATAAAGCAAATCAAGCTAAACGTTTAAAACTTGAAAACCATTTAAAAGCTAGTTAAATACATCTGGTTTGGACGAATGTTATTATGTTTGGTGGAAACTAGTTTAAGAAATAATATCTAAAAATGTACATCAATTATACATCCATTCTTACAGATGGAATTGTCCTGTCCAAAAAGTTCGTAGAATGCTTTCTTGCTGTTCTTGCTGTTCTTTTAGTGATGTAATGGTGTGGCGTGTAGCGGTATATACAGTAATCTCTCCTCAAATGACAAAGTTTGCTATGCCATAAATGTCGCTGTGCTACTGCTACGGCTCTGTAATTTATCGATTTTCTCGCTACGCCGATGCTAAATGTTTGGCGGAGTTTGGCACACGCCGTGGCTCCTTTGTATCTAAACAGTGTTGTTCTTTCTCGATGTTCGACTATCCTTACTCCAAGACCTCATAAAATTCCAGAGTGATGGAAAAAAAGTACAGTAAACAGTTAAAGGCTTAGGCTCGTCGAATGTCCTCCGAATGTCGATCGAACATTGGCCCGAATAGCATAACTTCAATGATATTTTCTTTCGAACAATACACATACCTTCTTTGACGTTGATTTTAATACTTCATATATAGTTAAGAATCGGTTTTTCTAATGCTTTTTTCGTAAATAAAATAAGTTACTTGTTACGTATAATGAATAAATATGGTCTAAATCATGTCGTGTTTGATCTCATTTTAATTGGAAGAATCTGATCAATATATTAAATCGTGTATTAAAAATTAGAAATAAAAAAGTTAAGTTAATGAATACATTACTATTAATGAATACAATGCTATGTATTCATAGTAATGTACACCGGCATGCTGGCCGCTACCTTTAGGTAGTTTTGTTCTCTCTCTCACACACACACGCGCGCGCGCGATATCGGCAACTGTAAAGGCGAGCCGCAAGGCACGAAGAATCGTGTCTTCTAGTCCTTTGAAATACACTTTCAATTCCGACCCCGCGACTTTTAGGGAGAGATTACTGTATAGAGTAGGGTCTTATATCTACACAGATCAAGTTACATGTGCCAATTCTTAAATTGTTCGCTTATGACAACGACGTTTAATATGGTTGTGTTGCGCTGTGTCGTCACATTTTCGAAAAATATTTAGGAATCAGTTGGAGAAACAACGCATTAACCTTTTTCGGTACAGTGACTCTGCTTGCAAATACATGGTGTCTCTGAAGTTATTGAAAATCGGGAAATGAGGTTCTTGAGATTACTTGAAGTTACATGTAATCCGTGGTTTTGTTTACGAGTTATTAACGGAGAACAGTGACCAATAAGAGGCGATCTCGGCTGGCCGAGGCAGTCATGGTGCACATCACATTCTTCTTTTTTCTATTAATTCGTATTTATGAGGTTAAAAAATTGTTTGTTGCTATGTAATAACATGTAAAATTATTTAATGTTCACCTGTATATATAGTTTCGCGGCTATATTGAATTTTAGTTTGATAAAATTATATTAGCCTAGATGACAGTTGAAATACTGTTCCAAAATCGCGTATAAGTGTGGCAGACCATTCGTAGCAATTCGAGAGTAGAAACTCCCGAAGCTGCTGTCAAATGTATACACAATTTTAAAATAGCTAGCAACTAGCACGAGGCACCCTCAAATGGACACCTAATTCAATGTGAGAGGATGATAATGTGTGGTGAGGACCGGTACAATTAAAAGTAAACAGATCTCTGAAACTGAAAATTTGAATCTTATTTCCAAACTGAATGTCTTAAATATTAGAGGGTAACGGTTTTCAAATATAAGATCTGCGTATCAAAGCCGATAACAATATCGCTTATTAGTTATCAGTAGACCGTGGATTTTTTATATTTATGACGAGGATGAATTGGTCAAGTAACTATACATATACTATAAACTAAAACTATACGACATTCCAATAGTTCCTGTATATTGTATCATTTTTAACTTATGTGGCAAATTCGACAAATTTGGTTTTCATTTTTTTTTTTACAACGGCGCACCCTAACAAAAAATCTAAGAAAAATTCATCATATTACTTGTAATAGTATCTTATCAGGGGATTAATGTAAAAATTCTTCATATTTTTATTTTTAAGAAATCTTCAATGTTCCGATTTTCTTTTTGGTTTTCCGTTTTTAGTAATCACAACTTGTAACCGAAAAATCTGAAAAATTTGTCACAATTTTAAGAAGCCACCGAAGAGGGGAAGGGGTGGAAATTTACTCTGCAACTACCCCCACGGACAAGTTACAGGATTGAAATTTTGCACAGATGAGTTTTTCTTGGTCAGCTACCGAACAGTATAAAGTCATTGAGATATCTCTAAGGGCAATTTGGGCCATCTTAATCGGCTAGGCTCTTCGTCACAGAGGGAGTACATCTTCAATTAATTTCTGTTTTCTACGATTGACTCGAACATTTTTATTTTACGCAGAGATTCGTAGTCTAGTTATTAGAATATTGAAAATCTTGTTATACCGTTTTGAATAATTGAAGTTAAAAAATTTCGTACACTACTCGTTTTTCTGTATAAGCAAAAGTTAGCACATCGTTGCATCGAAAGACGATCTAGATCTGCTGACGTAATACGAAACTTCTAATTTTGTTAAAGGAAAAATCACTTGACCTTCATATGATGCCCACTATGCATCCGTTTGCAAGAAAATCATTCTCGTCGAAATATATTTTCTTGAAAACAATTTTCCAGCAATATCGTTAACACCATAATCGAAGTAGTACTATTTATATACTTCATTTTGTGTATAATTTCGATACTTATATCCCATAGTAGTTACAACATTAGTTTCATAACTCCAGTTCACAGTATATTATCCTGCATATACAGGGTGTACTATTTAATCTTGCGCATTTCTAATATCTCACATATTATTAATAATAGAAACACATGTCAGAAAAAAGAAAACAGAGTTATGTTTAAGGTGATAAATATTGTGATAGGCAAAAATTGTTCTCAACATTATGTTTTTAAAATTTTCAAGGCCGACGATATATGTTTAAATGGGTTTGTATATTCTTACTTCTCAATTGTATTTCATATTTATTTATTCAATAATATATATTTCATATCAATTTTTCAATTTTAAAGCTGTTGAAAGTGAAAGCTTTAATTTTAAGAAATTCTATAAAATATAAAAAAATAAATTTGTCTGTTACTAGAGCATCTTGTTCACCGAGTTTAAAAAAAATTACGTTACATTGATATTCTGAATATATTTATTTGCAATATTTAGG